TTCTTAAAGCAAACTTGGCAGAATGACACGTTTTTTCTCATGACTCCAAGTTGCTGTTTTGAAGTCTGTGTGTAAACTTGGACCGAAACCGAGAGCTACCCCAGAGTCCTGAGGGCGCCGTGCTGGTTCCTTTCTGGCTCGTGCGACACGGGTTGTTCCCTTTTCGTTTGTGTGTTTTTAATTCTCCTCTACTTTCCATCTTTTTCTGTTTTTCCCTTGCTTTTAGGTTACTGGCCATTGCTTTTTGCAGTTGTTAGTGTGCCTGCCTGTGCTAGGCAGAGTGATGGCCCCAGAGGTGCCCATGTCCCCGTGTGACCTAACATGACAAAAGCGACTTGGCGGATGTGATTGCATTAAGGCTCTCCGATGGGAGAGTGTCCTGATTTATCCGGTGGCCCTGCAGGCGTGCGCCTCAGGCTTGGGGCCTCCGGAACCATAAGAGACTAAATTGGTGGGGTTTTTTAGCCACTAAAATTGTGGTAATTTGTTACAGCAGCCACAGGAATCTAGTACCACCCCTGGCTGTCTCCCTCCTGATGTGACGCATTAAATCAGATGACTGAATTTGTTAGAAATATACCATCTGCTGTTCGACAAGCATTTGTTAGCAACTACGTGTCAGGTGTTCAGAGTGAAGTTAGATGCGGTGTGTCCCCATCCCAGCTGTGCTGTGCACGCAGCCCAGTGGGGGACCGAGCTGAGCAAGACCGCTGCACACGTCCCTCAGCCTGGCGTGTGACACGCTGAGCTGCACAGCCACAGGGTGGTGCTGGGAGCTCCGATGGAGGGTGATGTCTGACTGGGGGATCTGGAATGTTCGGGCCTCGTAGAATGAGTTTGGGGGGCGGGGGAGTGTGTAAGGCGAGACCTGCCTGATAGAGAAAGTGGTTGGTGGACAGAGGCCATCCCAGGCCACACGGGAAGTGCAGGTCACCCCCGTGGACTCTCGTTGGGGAGAAAGTGAAGACCCTGCAGGGGCTCACCCCTGGCGTGCTTTCTGAAGTTCCCTTACCTCTCACCCTGCGTGGCAGCTGGACATTTGGTCCTTTAAGCTGCAAAATTTCACCTGTGGATAAGAGAAGCATGAGTTACGACATGTATAAACCGAGGGAACACCCAACCTGTGGTCAGCGTACTTTCCGGAACATTCCAGAAGCCCTCATTCTGTTTGTCTCTGGTTCCTGACATTTCCTCCCCGCTGAGCCAAAAGCCGGTCCTTTGTTGTTGTTGTTGAGCCCTGGTGGCCACAGGGCTGCCTGTCCGCCCTCCTGGGCGAGCTCTGCGCTGCCTCCTGTCGGCTGCTGGGCGCCTAGCCAGTCCCGATCGATAACCTGTCCATTAGAGCATTTCACCAGGCTGCACATCGCTCCGCTTTTGGATACGGATCTCCGCGGTGAGCCCTGGAGTGTTAGGCCACAGTTAGGTTGGTGGTGAAGTGACTTCTTAGGAAGGCACGTAGGAGGCTCAGACCCTCTCTACAGCTTCTGCAGGGGTCCCGGATCCTGCGTGGGGCAGCCCCTCTCCTGCAGGGGTTCGCGCACGTGTCCACGGTTCCTGGCTGGCTCCTGTTTGTCGGTGGCAGTGGTCAGACAAATACAAACAGGTGATAATGACATGCAGGGAGGAACTATTGGGATTTTTGACACGGCCAAAGAAAGAGAACCATGTGAGCTAGGCCTGGAGTATGTGGAAAACCTACATGGGGTCAGAGCCGTGCCCGCCCTGAAGTGAGCGCCCCCCAACCGATGTTTGGGGGAGAAGAGGCTGCCTGATGGAGCCTGAGCATCAAAAATTACGTCAGAAAGACTCCCCAGAGGGCCCGTGTCAGGGCATGGACGTGAGACCTGCTGGCGTGGCTGTCAGCTCCCGAAGCCGCACCGAATAACCAGCAGGACCAAGAGAACAGGAAACAGTCGATAAATACATTTCAAGGACTTCCTAAAACACAGAATGGGTAGGGTGTTGATGGCTTCAATTGAGCAGGTGAGGGGCCTGGAAGACCCCAGGAAGGCTGAGGAAGTGGAGGCACCAGGTGTTGGGGGGTTGGGGGGAGGCGCCCACACAAAGGCCTCAAGTGGGCGTCCTCGTGTGGAGCTGGCGGGACCCTGTGCTCCCTCCCAGCTGCTGGAATATGGACCGTGAGACTTCTTTGGAGAAGCTGGATGGTCCCAGAGCGACGTCTCAGGCCTGACATTTGCAGGTTTTGTCCACGAGGCAAGTCCCCTCCGGCCCCCAGCATTTTCAGTAGCTTCGACTGCTTCCTCCTTAAATAGCAGTGGGCAGCCCCAAATCTTTCATGAAATGCGGAAACCGTCCAACATAATAAAGAGACAAAAAGAATGAGTGAGAGGAAGAAGTTGAAGAAAACAGAGGTCCGAAGGGAAACCTGAAAACAAAAACCAGACAGAATTAAGACACTACACTCTAAAACAAGAACTGCGTGCTGTGAAGAAACAGTCGGACGTCTCCAGAATTGAAAATGATGGTCAGACTGAAAAGGAAGTCAGTCGAAAGGTTAAAAAAGACCAAGAAGAATTCAGCCAAAAATTAGGAACACAAGTTAGGCGAGAAAAGCCTGATTCTCTGATTTGCCAGCCTAGGAAGTCTGACGTCTGATAAGTATGAGTCCAAAACAGAGTAAAAGAAGAAACTAATGGGAGGAAATTGTCAAAGAAGCAACACAAGACAGATTTCCACATCAGGAGAGTTAAGGTTCCAGGTGGAAAGGCCCCCGGACACCCAGCCTCCCACGATCGGCCTCTCCCCACCCCAAGGGCCACCAGAGGGAGACACGGGCTCTGTCTTTTAAGCTTGTCGAGTTTGGGGACAGCCTGTTTCTTACAGCAAAACCCCTGAGAGGTCCTCGGTCCCTGTAACTGTTCGTTCTCGAACACACCGCCCTGATCTTCACTGGATTCCTGTGGCCAGTGACGGGAGGGGGGGCTGAGAGAGACAGACACGGATCCAGGAGCCTTCTTCCCACCTTTTCGAGAAATAATTTGGAACATTTTAAGGAAGAGATTGATGGGTGATATTTTGGGACTTGGGATGTAGAGACACATTCAAGCTTTAAAAGTCAGTGTTGGTTTCTGAGCAGTGACCTGACTGTCATTGGCTGCAAAAGAGCGTCATCCTGATCAAAAAAGGGGGACGAAACAGAGGGACTCAACTCGTTTAGCCTGGAGAAAAAGGGCTGTCTCTCGGCACAGTCGTTCCGAGCCAATAAATAGTTAAAACGACATATTATTTGGAACATAGTTACAGAAGCGCCTTTGTGTGTCTGCGTGTGTGCGCGCGTGCGTGTGTGTTCATGTGTGTGTGTACATATGTGTGTAGACGTGAATTACACTTTACACACTGTTGTGTCATTTTTTCTTCTGCCGGAAGGTGACTTTGATGGTCGGCCTTCCTGCCTCCATGAGACCCTGAGCGGCCAGTTAGAGGAGGGTCTGGTCTGGGCACGGCAGGGGCCGGGTGCAGCCGTGATGCGCGGCTTGTTCACCTGCGCTGTTCACGCACCCCGCCTGTTGGCACGTAGGGAAGGCTCTGACTGACGCGTGCTCGCCGCTGCGGGGCTCTGCAGGAAGGGCGGCCGCAAGCAGCGGGTCCCACCAGCAGCGCTGCTAACCTGGCTCCACAGGTCGCCCCTCCGGGCTCCGGGTCCCTTGGGTGGTCCTGTCACAGGCTCCCGGTCAGGAGATGCGATGGTTGGGGTCCTGGCCTGTCTCGTCCCTGCAGAAGCAGCCGCTCCCCACAGGCCCCCCCCCTGAGGACACAGCCCCAGCTGCCTGCCCTCGGAGGGTCTTTTTAATTTGTCCACCAGCATGCTGGCCTCTCGACACTGAAAATGCCCCCCACCCCTCCCCAGTGTCCCAAACAGTAATGAATTTGGCTGTTTCCTGCCCCGAAAGCCACCTTCCCAGCCAAGGCCCCTTCACCACGCTTTCCGACCTCGGGGGCAGTCTGTGCCCTCCCCAGGGGGTGGACATGTGTCCTTAGGTGTGGGGCAGGGTAGGGCTAGTGTGGTGAGTGTGTGGGGACTTGGGGGTGTGCGGGCGAAGCTGAGTGCTTGTCTGAGCTCGGGCGCTGGCGTGGGGGGGGGTCTCAGTGTGAAAGGCTGGAGGGCCGGGCCCGGGGCCTCAGCGGAGGGCTTGGCTCTGGGTGCTGTGTTATCACGTTTTCATCTGTAGCTGGGTGTTTGATGACGCAGTTTGGCGGGTGAGTTTGTTGGGTGGTGACACCTGGATGGGGACCAGGTACCGGCTGGGAACGTGCTCAGCAGGTTGGTGAGGTTGGTGAGGACACGCGGAGTTGTGCCAGCAGCTCTGGGCACCCACACGGGCTCAGGAACAAGCCGATGCGACGAGAAGCAGAGCGTGGGGGCTGGGCGGCGTGAGCAGCGCAGGCCGCTGGCCAGCGCATTCCAGAGTGAGAGAGTCACAGGGGCTGCTGTAATAACTGGCGCTGCTCAGGTCCTTTCCGGAACACTCGCCAACCCCAGACCTTCAGGCTGACAGGGCCGTGCGTAGGCTTGGAGACTGACCAGCCGACAAAGTGGGGGTGAGCTGGGGGCGCATAACTCCGAGTTACAATTCCCATGACATAAAAACCCTGGTGTGGAGACGGGCTGCTCCTGTCTTCACTGAGGCGGGAGCGGGGTTCCAGCAGGAAAACCGACCTGACAAAGAAAGCAGTTCGATGCGGAATGACTTAGTGAGGGGAGGTTCTGGATTTCCGATGAGATTTTCAAACTGGGCTGTTTTCATGGCATCAGGACAGACGAGGTCCATCCTGTGGTCCTGCCTGATGGCGGAGAGCTGAAACCGGCGACCGCTCAGTCCCTGTGCCAACCCAAGGCTGTCGGAGCCCTCCTGTGACACCCACCTGCCCCGCAGCCCTGGGCGTCCGTGTCCCCAGGCGCCGCACGTGCCCCGACTGTGGCAGCGGGGCCGCACGTGCTCCGATCTGACGGCAGTGCCTTTGCTTTCTCTTCCTTGCAGTACGAGTTTAAGGCCAAGAACATCAAGAAGAAGAAAGTGAGCGTCATGGTCTCAGTGGACGGTGTGAAGGTGATTCTGAAGAAGAAGAAGAAGGTGGGTGGCTCTGCGCCGGACGCCGGTGACGGGCGTGGGGCAGACTTTCTCCCTGCAGAGTGGCCGCTCTGACCAGCGGCGTGTGGACAGGCTGTTTCTGGAGCCGAGAGTGAGGTGGGGCCAGGGCCCTGGTGTCCCGTGGGTGGCAGCGCCGTTGCCTGTCATCCTGGCACCCCCCACTGCCCCCCCCACACACACTTTAGGACCTTCGCCTTTGAGTCTCGATCTTGGGAAATACGTTACGTCCCAGTGCTGACACGCACCAGGGTTCTGCGGGGAGTGGACCAGAGAAGCTCCCGCAGCGTGTCCCGTCTGAGGTGGCAGCCAGCCCACTGGGCGTCCTGCGTCCTCCTGTCACAGGTGTACTTCTTCAGCCCGTTTGTTGAAACGGCCCTGAAGGCCTCGCCACCCCGTGTTCAGTGCGGGAGGGCCGGTGTGGCCGGTCCCTGGTGGGGGTGACAGCAGTGAGTGTATGTGGGGAAAACACTCGACTGTTATGTGTTGGTTGTGTGTTGAAGAAGGCAATTCCTTCAAGGTTCATGAGCTAATTAAATATCTGGCTTTATAAACCTCCACTGGGGGGACCCTGGTCCCCGTCTTGTCATCACCCTGGGGCGATCACCTCTGCGCCCCACACGCATGCACACGGCACCTCCCCCACCCCAGCACACACGCACTTCGACCGACCGACTGACGTCTCAGAGCCGTCAGGGCTGCCCTGCCCATTGGGTGACTTGGCACAGCTCTGGTCTGGTCACGGTGGGTGGCTTCAGAGCTTTGTCCTTCGGGGACATGTGCCACCCTATGTCCCCATGTGTCACGTACCAGGTGCCGTGTCACCCCTATTCTGCATGTGAAAAACCTGAGGTCAGAGAGTCTAAGTTTTTGCCTAAGATCACATGACACCCAAGGACGGCTATGTGCCAAGGTGTCTCGTGCTGCAAAGTCGGCCTACCTCCTCTAAGCGGATGGAAGCCGAGCAGAGAGCGTGCCCCAGGGAGCCCCCAGGGAGCCACGGGGCCGGTGACTTCCCTGGGAACCCGCCCTGCAGATCTCCCGTGTGGGCTCAGCCTTGGGCCCGCCCAGAAGAGGCGCCCGGCAGGTCCTCCCAGATGGCACTCTCCTGACACCAGGCTTGGGAAGGGGAGCCTGCCGCCTGTCTGCTGCACCCACGCCTGGTGCCCGTCCCAGGGCCGGGCTGAGGCCGGGTTAGCGCCTTTGATCTCAGCGTCCACGGTCCAGCACCCCTGACAGATGAGTCTCATTAACACCCATCAGGCTGTGTCCTCGTATTCCCACGTGACAGTCCTCTGGTGTGTGACTGTGTGTGTCCCATCTCTCTCTCTCTCTCTCTCTCTCTCTCTCTCTCTCTCTCTCTCTCTGTCTCCCTCTCTGCATGCTTATAGAACTGGGGTGAGGGTAGACGCGATGCACTCATGTCTGCGACCTGTGGTGATGGCGTCCTGATGGCTTAGGCAGAGAAGCCAGGCGGCGGCAGGTGCAGGAACAGCTGTAGCTGCCCTGGTGCCACGTGCAGCCTGACGCCTTGCATTGATTGGTCAGTGCCTGTGCCACATAGTGGTGGGTCAAAGTGTCGAGTGTCCCCTCCTCCTGCAGACGTGTCAGTGACATGTGGGAGGGGCCCTCGGCTGAGGTGAGTCCCACTCTGGTCTGGGCTCTGCCTGTGCAGCTGGATGGTTCTGAGCTTCAGGTCTCTGGTGGTCATGTGACAACACGATGACGGAGTAGGCGCTGGACCTGCAGCCACCCCCCTCTGCCGCCTGGTGCCCCTGCTTCCAGGGCCGTGGAGGTCACCGACACTCACCCGTGTCTTTGGGGACCGACAGGCTAGGACAGGGCAGACCCCCGAGGCCGAGCGACTCCGTGTGTTGTCCTGGGTTCTCTGGGGCAGGTGCACCTCCTGAGGAGAGGCAGATCTGGGGCAGACCCCGCGTCTCCCCTCACCCCAGCCTGCCCCTGAGGGTCAGTGGGGCCTGCGTCCTGCGGGGGAGAGCACGGAGCGTGGTGCTGTCTGGGTGGGACTTGCTCAGTGGCTCGGAGCCTCGGTGCTTTGTTCCCATGTGGGCACAGCCGGGCCACCCTCACAGCCGTGTCACCCTCACAGCCGTGTCACCCTCACAGCCATGTCACCCTCACAGCCGTGTCACCCTCACAGCTGTGCCATCCTCACAGCCGTGTCACCCTCACAGCCGTGTCACCCTCACAGCCGTGCCATCCTCACAGCCGGGCCACCCTCACAGCCGGGCCACCCTCACAGCCGTGCCATCCTCACAGCCGTGTCACCCTCACAGCCGTGTCACCCTCACAGCCGTGTCACCCTCACAGCCGTGCCATCCTCATAGCCGGGCCACCCTCACAGCCGTGTCACCCTCACAGCCGCACAGAGCACTTGTTTGGTCACATTCACAAGCACTTAAAAGCGCTGTCTTCCTGACCAGATACCAGCAGGTGATAGTCCCCAGTTCCTCTGGGTGTCCGGTCGTATTAGTGCTGTGAACGCAGCCCCTAAGATGACAGGCTTTGCTCTGATGTCTGCCAATCAGGACATTGTCCTCAGCTGTCCCGCCTGAGGAGCTGGCCTTGCTGTAACGGTGACAGTGTTGCCTGGAGTCGCACTGCAGCACCGGGTGCTCGGGAGCGAACTTCTAAGGAAGAGAGATGAGACTTGGGCTTCGGCCAGGGTTTCCCACGGAAGGACCTGACAGCCTGAGTCACACGGTTTCTCGGATAAACCAGCTACTTGACCCTCAGGCTCTGCATCTCATTAGCAAGCAGTTTCCGTGTGTCCACGTGTCCAGGGACCGGCTGGCACAGGGGGTGTTGGACGCAGACCCCTTCCAGCAGAACTGACCATGCTGACGGCCGCGCACGCACACCGGTCTGTCACAGCTCCTGTCAGGTGGCAGCGAGGTGACTCGTCTCCCCCCCACAGTCCTTAGGGGGGGACCCTTGTCTTCCCTCCACCCCAGTCCTGTTGGGGGAGATGGGCCAGTGGGCGCAAACCGAGGACACACCGAGATGGCGACGAGGACAGCTGACAGTCCCAGCCAGCACGGACATGAGCACCCCTAGGCTGTCACCCCATCCTGTGAGGCAGGGGCTGCTCTTAGGCCCGTTTTACACAGGAAGGCGAGGCAGCTCCCCCCAGACCCCCTGTCCGCCAGTGGTGGGGGGCTGTGAGCCGGGGCTGTCCTGCGCGCGTCCCCGCAGCTTCCTCCCACCTGCGTGTCCTGAGCGTGTGCTGGTCCCTTCAGATCCTTAGAGAAAAGCTACGTCACAGGACAGGCTCGCTGGGATGTCGCGCGGCAAGGAAGCCAGCTTCCTGCCCACGGAGTCTTGCTCGTTCCTATGGAAACCCAGAACTCGCATCTAACTGTGTAAGAAAAGGGGGCGCTTGGGATTAAAGAGCCAGAATGTGGGAGAAGGGGCTTCAGGAAAGACCGCGTCCGGTCCCCCCTTGACCACAGACAGTAACAGAGGCCGTGACTGTGCCGGGTCCCCGGCTCGCTCCTGACCCCCAGGACGGAACGCACCCCAGCCCCTCTGCCACGCTGTGTTCCTTCTCTATTTTCTGCTCGTTTTAAAACAGGCGGCTTAGGAATCGTGTGCGTTTGTGAGGACTCAGTTTTGAAACGTGTTTTCTGTTTGTGAAGACGGGTGAGAGCTGTATTTTCAGACTCACTCTGTTCCAGCCGGGAGCACGAGAGCTCGTCAGGCTGAGTTCATGTGGCCTCGGAGGGTTTTGTCTGTGAGGCGGTGCCAGGAGCACCGCTGATGGTGAAGCTTACAGACCTGGGGTGTGCCTGCTGACCTTTCCAGCAGGGACAGGACAGGAATATCAGCACAGCCTCTTCCTCCACGTCTGGGTTCCCAGGGAGGTGCTTCAGAGGCGCCACGGCCGTTGCCGGGTGCCAGCGGGAGGCCGGGCCGCGGTGCTGACTGTCCCCATTCTGTTCCGGGCACCGCTCCAGGCAGACGTGCCTGTGAACCAGCCCCCACGCGCTGTTCCCTGCCCGGAGGCCCGGCTGCCAGCACTGGGGACACTGCAGGGGGCAGGCAGGGGGCCTTCTGAGCTGTGCCCGGCCCCCCCAACCCCGTGTGGTCCTGGTGCGGGCTGCAGGGCTTGGACCTCAGCCCTGGAGGAGCTCAGAGATGGGGTCTGCGGGCGGCGAGGGGCGGTAATTCCCACCTGACGAGGTGGCCTCGGAAGGGAAGCCAGTCCACTTCTCTGAGGTGGGTGTTTGTCTGTAAGGTTGAGATCAACCTCAAGAGTGGAAAGAAAGCATTAATACACGTTCGTAAAGGGCAGAGGGGAATTTGCGCCTGTCAGCTGGGAAATTTCTTGTGAGAATAAAAAATGAGGCAGCTTAAAGATGACTTTCCCGTATCTTTCCTTTCCTGCCTTCTCACTCTCTCTGTTCTTCTCAGTCCTTTGAGAAGCAAATACCAAGTCAGGATTAAGTGCGTGTGGGAGAAAATGGGGGGCACCTGGCAAAGGCTGCGACGCTGTCCGGCTGTCAGACGGGGGGCGGGGGAGAGGTGGTCAGGGCGAGGAAGGCAAGGCAGGCAAGGGTCACCAGCAGGACTCCTGAGCCCTCTGCACACTCAGTCGTGGGCTGGGAGCAGAGCTCCTGCACACACAGTAGTAGATTTCAGAAACCAGAGCCGGGGTCCTTGGTTCGTGAACCCCGCGGCCGTGGGAGGCCTGCAGGGACACTGTGGGACACACCTGCTTTCTCGCTGCAGAAAAGTTTGGCTGATCCATGAAGCAGAGCCTCCCTTCAAGTTAAGCTAGCCTCTTTTCTCATTGACTTTTTAAAGTGCCTTTAAAGTAAGGACTTCATAGAAAGTGGGGGGGGTGGGGAGAGGGGAGAGGGCTGGTGGGGGTCGGCTCCTTCAACTGCAGAGGCATCGGGGGACCTGGCCTGGACTGCAGCCGCCAGGGCCAGGAGGCACGGCTTCCCCGTGAGCTCCGGTGGGAGCAGAGCCCCTCCCCTCCCAGCAGCCAGGAGCCCCTTCCACACCCTTGGGTGTCCACAGGCCGAGCGGGGCAGCTGGAGTTCTGCTCTGGCCTGGCAGGGCCTCGGGGACACCCTCCCCCTGCTGAGCAGCGTCACAGGAAGACAGGTACAACACAGTTTAAATAACATTCACACTCTTATGATAACAATCCAAGTGTCCAGGTGGCTGAAAATCACTCACCTTACCAGAAATGAGGAAAATCTCAGCTTCAATGAAAAAAAGACAGTAGATGGCAATGCCAAGAGGACTGATGCTAGAATTATCCAACAAAGATGTAAAGCAGCGTCGAAAAAATGCCCCCATGAGCAGTTCCAGACCTCAGACCAGGGAGGAGCTGGAAAGAGAAGGGGAGCCCCGTGGAACTACGAAAACCAAACACAGTCGCAAGAATAAAAGCTCGGGGGACGCGCTCAGCAGCCGAGAAGGTGCTGGGCACACGTTCTAGCTGAGCTGAGCTACAAGTTCACAGATGTAGACGCGGCTTGTCTAACATCATTTAATACTCACGTTACAGCAGTGTCCCCCAAATCAAGCCCCATTCTAAACACGCTCCGCTGTTTAAAGAATCCCCGTGGTAAACAGTTACCTGTGTGTTTAAAGGGCTCACGTGTGCAGGCGTTTCCCCTGACAAACCCCCCGGGTGTCATTGGAGCCGGCGTCATGTGTGCAGTAAGGTCGTGGAGACCCTGCCAGCCGGGCCTCGCTGTGTGAGGGGGGCTCGTTCAGAGACGTCTGTTCCTCATCCTGCTGACCAGACAGACCCCGTGTAGACCTGTTGGGGTCCAGGCGTGAGCACCAGGTCGTGAGGGGAGGGGATGCTGACAAGTGCACGGTGCATGGAGAAAGTCACCCAGCCTGACGAGGGGCTGGTAAACCTGTCAGGTGAGGGCTCTGCAACACCCGGGTGATTCCGTAGGAAGGAGAGGCTCCGTTGCGGCTGTGTTTATGTGTCTGGGGGGCTCGCTCTTAGAGGGAGGTTCAGCCTCCTTTTTTCCGCCTTCGCTCCAAATGGGGCAAAACGCACAGGGCGGTGCGTGATTCTAGGAAGGCAACGTTGGAAAACTGTTAATCTTAGCTGGAGCTGGGTTTCATTCTCTGTGAAACAGCATGTGGTGTTGCATGCGGGTAAGGCAGCCAAAGTCCAGTTCTGTGTCTGGGCTGCACTGAATGAAACCCTGGGGATTAAATGGCATGTGTGTGAGTGTGTGAGTGTGTGTGCATGTGTGTGTGTATGTGTGCATGTGTGCATGCATGTGGTGTGTGCGTGTGTGTGCGTGCGTGTGCACACACATGTGTGTGTGTTGTGTGTGTGTGCATGTGTGTACGTGTGTGTGTGTGTGTGTGAATATGTGTGTGTACATGCCAGGTGTACACAGTGTGTTTCAGTCAAGCTCCTGATGCACCTGAGGGCCTGCGTGTAACTTCCCCTGGTCCCTGGTGGGGCCCCCGTGTCCACACCCACTGGGCTGTGACCTTGGCTGAGACATGCACGGAGCCGGACACCCTCACTGGACAGTTACCCAGCATGCACCTGCTTGCCTTTCCCTGTCCTCTTTCCTGGAGAGATGAGTGTGCCTCCCCAGCTGGCCTGGGCAGCCCTACCTGTGACCGTGGCCAATGAGGGCAAGACAGGCCTCTGTCCCTCCACGGTGGGAGGGGGTACCTGGGAGCCTGTGGCAGCTGCCAGCCCTGGTGTCCCCCCAACATGCTGGGTGCCGCCCACCTCATCAAGCATCTGGGGTCCCCAGTACTGCCTTGGAGCGCTCTGTCCCCACCTGTCACCCACTCCTGTGAGCCAGGAGGAACCTCCTGCATGGGTGACTCAAGACGGGCTGGTTACCCCACAGCCCGTGCCCGGCTCCCCCACCTTTGAGGCATGGCTCTCCCGGCTCCCTGCCCCCCCTCCCCCAACAGGTGTGTGCTTTTTTGTTCCCTTGAAATCCTGAGCCTGGGGCCGTCTTGGCGCCCACTGCCCTCTGCGCCCTGGAGAGACAGCCCTGAAGTGCTTGGGGGACGTGCGGGGACTGGACGTGACATTTTCCGCTGTCCTTTCATGCCGTCAGCTCCAGGCCTCTTAGAGGGCGATTGGCCAGGACAGATGCGTGTGTCACAAGCCCCCGGGGTCCACATGCCTGGGGCCTGTAGTGAGGACAAGCCTGACTGATTCATCTACAGCTTCTCTTGTTGCAGAAGAAAGAGTGGACGTGGGACGAGAGCAAAGTGCTGCTGATGCAGGACCCCATCTACAGGTGAGCGGGCGGGGCGGGCGGGGCGGGGGGCGGTGCCCGCTGTCCGCTGGGCCACAGGCCAAACCCGGCTCTGCGGCACTTCCCTCCGGAGACTCGTCCCTGCAGCTGTAAGTACCCGAAGCAGCGTAGCTCGTCTGCAGCACGGCTGTCCCTGCGCACTGAGGCAGGCAGGCAGGATTCCTGCCTCTGTCACTTGAGACAGTTGTGTCCTGACTGACATTTCGCAATCGCACGTGTGTTGATCAGAACGAGAGGGCCTGGTCTCCACCTCCCTCGGGTCACAAGCCCCGCAGCTGCGGTCTGCTCCGGCCTCCTGCCCTTCAGAGGCTGAGCACAGCGGGGGCTTCAACTGTCTGAGAAGCAGAGTCACACGCGTGCTCCCCAGAAATCCCCTCCACGGTGACACTGGCGTGAGTCCTGCAGAGCCGCTGGCCGCACCCATGCTCACTCCCCGGGCAGGGGGTACCCAGGGAGAAGCACCCCGCACCCCCATCTCCTTCCCCCTTCTCCTCCCTGGGAAGACGGGCCTTAGCTGCTCCTTTGGGGTCTGCGGGACGAGGAGCTGAGTTGTGGTGTTGGCCCCTCGCCACTCACTTGCCTGGGCTGACAAAGTGGTTCAGGGCTGAAGCCTGACAGCGACGCTGGCAGCCCTGCCTGCCCGTCAGAGAGGAGACGCCTGTGAGGTGGGACTTCCATTCCTCCCAGCAGATACACAGAAGAGAAACTGCGCCACCGGGCGCTGTGCTGGGGGCCTAGATCACTGCCACGAGTGGGCCATGGCCCGCTCTCAGGGCTCGAGGCCAGTGGGGAAACGTGGTGCTGAGGCGGCCACGCCGGATGGACGGCGTGTGACAGAGCTGTCCCCTGTGTCCTGGCGCACTTCCTAACCTTTGCTGGAATGGTTGTGACTGGACGTTGCTGTGACTTTGCAGTGGCTCTGGGGGAAGGATGCCCAACCCGCCTTGTGTTTCTGGCACCGAGCCTGCGTCTGGCCCATTTGACGCATTGAATCACCGTGTGGTGGGCGGACAGGCAAACGCACTTAATTCATGTCTGAAAATTAAATAAATCGTATCTGATGGATTCACAGAGGGATGACGAAAGGCTTCAGGAAACAGACGGCGTCAGAGCTGAGCTGGACGGGTGTGAAAGGACAAACCCTGCCGTTTCCATTTTTGGAAAAGGAAGCATTGCTTGGTTTGTTTTTTGTCTTTTTTACAGTGGCACTGTGTCCATGAAAAAGTGACCTCTTTGTGGACGCTGATCAGGACCTGAATCTTGCCTTTCATTGGTTGAAAGAAATGACTTTCCCCAAAGTTTTAGCATTCCCCAAACAAGCTGTTGATTTTGTTTTTATCGAGCACAGTTAGAGAGGGTGGTTGGGTAAGTTGTGACATATGTACACACTTGAAAGCCATCACCTCAGTCGAGACGATGAGCCCATCTGTGTCCCCGGAAGGTCCACTGCGCCCCGTGGTGACCGTCCCCTCCACCCTCCTGCCATGTCCCGCCTTTCCGTCTCCACATCCAGGCAGCTACCCAGCTCCTTCCTGGTGTCGCCCACGAGTGTGTGTTCTTGAATTCTGTGTAAATGCAGTCACACGTTATACCCCCTTTTTGGCCCGGCTGCTGTCATTCAGCATAACTGTTCTGAGAACCAGTCCTCGTCAGGGTGTCTTGGCAGCGTGGCCCCGTATGACCGGACAGTCCCGCTGCATGAGTGTGACACAGCTCGCTCACCACTCACATGGCGACGGCGATTTGGGTGGCTCCTGGCTTTTAGCTGCTGCACGGAAGCCCTAAGGCTGCTCACCACAGGTCCTGTGCACACTTCGGTTCCCCAGCTGAGCTCCCAGGGCCAGAGGCCCCGTCATACGGAGGGTGGGTGTGTGTGTGACTCGGCGAGGCTGCCAGCCCGTTTCCCACGTGGTCGCCCCTGGCGAGCGGGAGGAAGCGTCCTGGTCCCTCCACCCCTGACACCCTCGGGCCGCCAGCCTTGTGAATTTTAGCTCTTCCAGTGGGGGTCGGTTAGTACCTCAGTGGCTCTGATCTGCGTTTTTCTAATGACCGATGACGTGCTCATCTTTGCATCAGATATGCTGTTCGTGTGTCTTTTGTGAGACGTCTAGTCACATCTCTCGCCCTTTTTTCATTGTGGTGTTTTGTTTTCTTATTACTGAATTTTGAGAGTTCTTTATACATTTTGGCTACATGTCCTTTGTCAGATACATGATTTGCAAATGTTTTCTCCAAGCCTGGCTTGTATTTTCTCTTAGTCATGTCTTTTGAAGAGCAGAAGTTTCAATTTTGATGAAGTCCAAACTATCGGTTTTTAAATGTCTGGGTTGTGCTTTGAGTGTCAGGAATCTCTGACTCGGGTTTTTTTCTGTACTCTCTCCTGAAAATGTTCCAGTTTTAGGCTTCGTGCGTGCGATCCGCTGTGACTCAGGCTTTCATTCTCTATGAGGGATACATCAAAGCTCCTTTTTCTTTTTTTGTAAATGGCCGTCCAGTTGTCCCAGCCTCATTTGTTGAAAACACTGTCCTTGCTCCACTGATGTCCGTCTGTTGAGCGCCCGTCCCCTGCACCTGTGCGGTTTATTTCAGGACTGTTTTCTGTTCTGTTCTTCCCACTTGCTCTCGACCCCAGTACACAGCGGCTTGATCACTGTAGCTTAACAATAACCCTTGTAATCAGGTACTGTGTCAGTCTTCCAACGTTGTTCTTCTTTCTCAAAGGTTTCTTTCGATTAGTATTAGTATATATCTTCCTCCATCCATTTACTTTTAAGGAGAAACATGTCTTCTGGTGGGGGGCAGAAAACATCAAAGAAGTCTTAAATTTTAAAGTGAAGTTTTCTTGGCCAACGCCTCCCCCCAAAAAGAAAGACACAAACACACCTCGGACGGCAGCCTCTCTGGGGCGGGTGTCTGGCGGGCCTCTTCCTGATGGATCAGAAGTTAGCAGCCTCTCTGAACAAAGGAGCGAGGCTTAGCCAGCACCGTTCCAGCCTCCGAGACACTGTTCCCGCAGGCGTTCAGTGGTGGTTTGGGCCTCTGTGCGTGTGGGCTTGTGTACCTGTGTGCGGGTGAGTAGATAAAAGGAATTTTTCTGAACTGTGCACATCCCATCTTGTCGTCAATAGGAGCGTCCATCATGGTGATAATATAGTAACATTTACAGCCGGGCCTTCCTCGGGTAGTTACTTTTCTGCCCACAGGGAACCACTGGGTGCTGCTGAAGGAAACATAGTTTCAGATTTCATGAAATTCTGGGCTAGCTCTGCAGCTTCACTTTAGGAAGCTCTGTTTATGGTCAAGTGCATTCTTCCAAACAAAAGGGATGCCTGACCACCTCAGCAATGCAGTGTTTGTTTTTTACAAAGTCTGACTTTAAATGTAAGTATTTTGTATCTCTCACAGAATAACAGAATCATGTTTCTTTTATCGTGATGAAACACACGTAACAAAGTTTGCCATTTTACCCACTTTTAAGTGTGCAGGTCAGTGGGTTAATTACACTGAGGGTGTGCAGCCATCACCACATCTCTGTCTCCGGAACTGCCCATCACTCTCAACGGGCACTTGGCACCCATTAGGCGCGAGCCCCGAGTTCGCCTCCCCGAGTCCGGGGAGCGTCTGCCCTCCCAGGAGGCTAAGAGGCCAAAGCACTGGTGACACCAGGCCTGGTCCCCTCCAGTGCAGGACCCGCTGTGTCCAGAGCTGGAGGTCACTCCCGGGAGTGTTAGTGTCACCTGTGGAAAGTGCCATCGGCTTGTGGCTTCTGGGAAGAAGACCCTCCGAGGACCTGGGTGTCGCGAGCCCCGCCCCCAGTATCCTGAGCTGACGCATTTTCAGCGCGTTTCCTTTGCTCTCCCTGTAGGATCTTCTATGTGTCTCACGACTCCCAGGACTTGAAGATCTTCAGCTACATCGCTCGAGATGGCGCCAGCAACGTCTTCCGGTGCAATGTCTTCAAGTCCAAGAAGAAGGTAGGGGCAGCCATCCGTCCGTCACCCGTCATTTTCTTCGGTCGGACCCAGAGTGCCCCCGACATTGACCCGTCTCCCTGGTGACAGGCAGGATCGGGCGGTGGCTGTTGTAGCAGAGACGCGGGGAGTGTCTCAGCAGCCCACCACCGCTCCTGTGGACTGCGACTCTGGTTTCGTCTGACCCTTGTCTTGGCCGCTCCAGGCAGCTGGACAGGCCCTGCCCACTGGTCGGCGCTCTGAAGGGCAGCAAGTGGGCTGAGCGGGCGCCGCCGCCTTGGCGTGCTGCAGGAAAGAAGCTCTGCCACTTGCCGAGGTGGCCTTGTCTTGTGTGCAGTGTCCAGGGGCTGCGAGTCAGGATGTGTGCAGTGTGGCCGAGACGGCGCGGGGGACACCGGTGGTCCCGGTGGCCGTGTCTGGGCGGTAACCTTGATGTTGAGTGAATGCAGCTTTGGCCGGGTGTGGAGGCCTGCGTCCTCGCTCGTCCTCCAGGCGTCTGACATGAAACCTGGTTTCGGAAACCCGGGTCCCGCCTCCCTCTCCCCTGGAGCCCTCAGTGGTGCTATGTGGGCCACTGTCCCCACGGCTCTCCGCTTCCTCGTCTGTCACACCAGGAGGAGCGTTGAAGCCAGCGTCTCCTGAGCATTTAGCACCCCGAGTGTTCGTGTTTAAATGTGCTGGGAGCCCTAGAGTGGGAGAAACCCCTTTAACTTTGTGTGGCCCAGCACTTCTCAAACCAATGTGGCCACGGGACCATATTTTTCTGTGTAATGTGTGTTAGTGTCCTGGGAACTGTCTGCTAAGAGATTTGGGAAAATGCTCTACTTATGCTTCTGAGGTCCCTCAGGCCTGCGTTCCAGGCACAGTCCACCACGCCGGGCTTTGCGTGAGGGCCCCTTCCAGTCCCCGCTGCGTGCTCCTCTCATGCTGTGTGACACCAGGCGCCTTTGACAGGCTGCGGGTACCTTGTCAAGTGGGCATAAGAGTCATACATGACAGGGTCAGCATCCACTATCTGTGTCCTGTGCCACCCAGCTCCACAAAGGGGGACACTTGGCGGATTTAGCCTGGTCCTCTGAGGAGATTTGTGCGCTGACCACCTGCCGCAGGCTCATTAATGCAGATCAGGGACCCATGGAACGTGCAAGGGAAAGGGCAGGTGCGAGACCTACTTCTAGATCCAAGTCGGGGCGGAGCTGCGCCAGGAGACCCCACAGAGGCGGGAGGAGAAGCGGGCGCTACGGCTGGGCTGGAGGCTGCTGCGGCTCTCAGGGGGCCTGGGGCAGGGAGGGAGAGCAGGGCTCCCCGAGAGCTCGGCTGTGTGCCTGACTGTCGTGTTAGCTCCCCGCACTCAGCTGTGTGTCCGACTGTTCTGTTAGCTCCCCACCCTCAGCTGTGTGTCTGACTGTCATGTTAGCTCCCCGCACTCGGCTGTATGTCCGACTGTCCTGTTAGCTCCCCACCCTCAGCTGTGTGTCTGACTGTCATGTTAGCTCCCTGTGCTCGGCTGTATGTCCGACTGTCATGTTAGCTCCCTACCCTCAGCTGAGTGTCGTGTTAGCTCACCAGGCTCAGCTGTGTGTCCGACTGTTGTGTTAGCTCCCCGCCCTCGGCTGAGTGTCTGTCGTGTTAGCTCACCATGCTCAGCTGTGTGTCCGACTGTTGTGTTAGCTCCCCTCACACTCGGCTGTGTGTCGGACTGTCGTGTTAGCTCCCCATACACGCGGCTGTGTGTCGGACTGCTTTTGAGTAGGCTGCCCACTCCCACTGAGAGAAGAGTGCTATTTTCATGATTGTTGCTACGGCTCATCGAACACGGACGCCTGCTGGGCACACACTGGTGCCCACGTTAGGTGTGCGAAAGAGAAAGGCTGTGCTTGCATCTGGACTTCTGTGCTGGATTGAGGGGTAGCCTGGGGCCGGGGGAGCTCTGTCGACACCAGTAAGTAGATGGTCTAAAGAAACACTTCGTGTGTCGTGAGGCTACGTGGCTCTAAGCGCTTGCTTCCCAGCCCGACTTTCACAGCAGTGCCTGTAACCCGTGTGCTGTGGTGTCACGGCCCCCGTCTGAAGCTGGGAGCCGCTTCCAGCTTTGAAGACATCAAGCATCCTCAGCAGCCTCATGTGACGGCAACGAGCCCGCAGGTGCTTTGGGGGCGCTGACAGGAAAGGGCTTCAGTCAGGAGATTGGACCCATGTGGCCACGTCCTTTCAGGCGCTCCTGTAAACTAGCCTGGGTTTGTGCGGAAATCATGCAGTTTCACGATACTTTGAAGAAAACCTCTGGTAAATTCCAGGGAACGGCCAGCTCCTGGGGCTGCAGCGGACTCGCTTCCCAACCCCACCTGTTGCCCTGCTGTGTTCCTGGTTACCTCGCACCTTTCAACTCCACTCTCAGTTCTGAGGCCTGTTTGTGGTCCTGAGATGTGAGCAGTGGCTTCTGGTGACCCAGGGGACCCACGGAAGGGCTCTTTTTAAAACCTCTCCCCGTTGGAGTTCTGTCTTGGGGTCAGACGTGGCTTATAAACTAGGAAGTTCCGGCGCGTGTGGCCTCTGCCTCCCAGGGCGGCAGGCAGGACCGGTTTTCTCCCTATAAGGCCCGAGGCCCTACCACGAAGCGGGCAGGCACAGCGGGCAGGAGCCACGTGACTGCAGAGGGCAGATGGCACCGGCGAGTGGGCACAGCCAGCAGGGCAGGAGCGCCCCGGCCCCTTCAGTAACTCCCCCCGCAAGCTCCTTCTGTGGACTCGCCTAAAAGCCGACTTCAGTGCCGAGGGAAGATGAGCCCAGAAGGAAGGGCTTCAGAGCTCACAGAGCCGCCCTGAGCATCAGGACCGTCGAGCCCCCCAGCCTGGGGTCCCGCGGGAACGCACTTCCGTCCTGTGGGAGCAGCCGTGCTGAATGGCGAGTGGAAGTGCAGCCCGACGACGCGCTCCACGGCAGAGGGCTCGTCCCCAGACGTGAGACTGTGTCCTCTTACCACGACCGGAAACGGGCTTTGCAGATGCCCGTTCAGTGTGTTGTCTGGGTCAGTTTATGTGAGATAAGGAGGTAACCACACGTCACGGGCACGTGCCCACACTCTCTCTCTAGAAGCCTGAAGTTCCCGTTTCTGCCGCGTGTGTGTATGTCTAAGAACAACATTCCCCAAGTCAGAAGAAGTGGGTGGGGGGCTGTGTCGGGGACCCGGCCCCACTCGGCCTCCACAGTTGGTTAGCTGGCACGGAGCCCCACGGTCATTGCTCAGCCACACGCAGTCTGCTCCGTTGTCACGAAGGGACTCAGCAGCAGGTGTGAGGACGTTGGGGCGACACCTTGGGGGCAGGTGGCACAGGGTCTCAGGTTCCGTGGCTTGTGTGTGAGGAGAGCTGACTGTGCTGGTGGCAGCAGGACGAGTGCAGGGCTTCACACAGAGGGCAGAGGTGCAGGTCCTCCCCGGGTGAGGCGACCCACAGAAGCCACCCAAGGCTCTTGTCACCCACAAACGTCAGGACAGTCCAGGGCCTCGCGTCCTGAGTTAGAGAGGTCGCTAGGACGTGCTCTGCGGCGAGGGACAGCCGGACCGGGGAGGCTGGTTCCTATCTGCCTGGCCCTCGCGCTTCCTCCTCCTGCGTCCTGGCCCAGGGTCCCCGGTCCCTCACCGCGTCCCCTGTCTCTCTCCCTCCCAGAGCCAAGCCATGCGGATTGTGCGCACAGTAGGACAGGCCTTCGAGGTGTGCCACAAGCTGAGCCTGCAGCACACACAGCAGAGCGCGGACGGCCAGGAGGACGGGGACAGTGAGAAGAAGAGCAACAGCTCCGGAGACCCAGGTAGGGCCTCAGTGGGCAGAGGAGCACGCTTGGGGTCCTCGGGGTGTGGGGTCTTAGTGCCTGTGCTGGCCGAGAGCCGGGCCCTCGGGCTTCAGCAGTGCTCGGGGACTGCTGTCCCCTCCCTGCTGTCCCCTCCCCACTGGGGGCTGCTGTCCCCTCCCCGCTGTCCCCGGTCCCTCCCGGGGGAGATTTGTGTTCTGTATGTCCTGGCCAGCTGCCCCAGCCAGTCCCAGGCTCGGACCAGGTGGGGCCGCCTTGCCCCGTGTGCTTTGACTCCTGGAGGGGCTTCCTGGGAGAGACCCCCCTGCCCTGGGAAGAATAGAGGTTCTTAAAAGTGAACGTCTTGCCATGGTCCGTGAGCACTAGATTCAGGGGCGTGAACTGTGCGCCTGACACCTTCTGGCCCGGACGTCCCGCTCACCCCACCCGCCTCCCGTCGCCTGCCCCGTCTCTCCGGCCACCACTGCCTGACCCTGCGTCCCTAGTTCCAGCTCCTCCCTGCACTTGACATATGTGTGTCACTTTCTCGATTCTGGGTCCTGGGGACACTGAGCCAGACAAGATAGATGGGGGCTCACATTCAGAGCTGGGCATGGGTGCAAACAGATGACAAACTTGGTCACTTTAGAGATTATGTGGACGCGATAAATTAGATGAAACGGGCCGGTGGGACTCCAGGCGGGCGCGGCACGCTGGTTGGGCGGCAGGCGGTGGCCCTTTGGAGCCACCGGCAGGTCTGAGCCCGCCTTCTTGTCACCTGTCAGGCAGGGGTTATCACCGTGCCTGCCTCTCGGTTTCGTTGTGAGGATAAGTGAGTTAACATGTGTAAAACCATTAAGTTAGTGCCTGGGACACAGTGCTATTTAAGCTGTACTGTTGCAATTTTGAGGCAAAAAAATGGCCATTTCCAGCACTTTTGGACCAAACTGACAACCCCTTATTCTTCTTTAATGGCTGAGATATAATTAACATGTGAGAAGTTCGGCATTCATCCCGCAAAACCTTCCACTCAGCCAGGAGACGCTGGGAAGAAACGGCCGCCCACAGATGGCAGGTCCTCCCTGTCACGGTGGGACCTGCACTCGGCTGCAGGCCGGCCAGCAGTCCCCCTGCTCGTCGCCAGCTCGCCTCTTGTCCGTCCCTGTCCAAGATTAGCCCGTTCACCTGCCTCTGCCTCCACCCTCCTGCCGCCTCCTGAGCCCCAGCCTCACCTGTCTCACTCCCGAGTGGTCACCTGAACCCTCCGCCGTGCCGATTCCGCCCAGTGCAGACCCTGGGGTGGAGCCCCCCTGCCGTTCAGAAAGTGCTCGGGTGGACAGACAGACCGAGAAGGAGGGCAGGGGAAGCCTGCCCCTTATCTGTCCCCTCACTGCCACCTGGGGGCCAAGGTCAGAGTCGGGCTGGGGGTGGGGCACTGGTCCTGTGTCGGACGGGGCCTAAAGTCCCCTTGTCCTTGCTCTGCCGCCATATGCCCTTCCCGTCCATCCAAGTCAGCCTCCAACTTTGTGGTTGGAACTGAGGCCCAGAGTCAGGTGTTTCACTGACAGCCCACCAGGGGCGAGGCTGGGGAACCCCACGTCCCTGGGCTGATCCCACACCTGAGCTGGGATGAGGTTGAGGTGACTGTCATCCCTCCTCCCAGGGTCCGCACACCAAACCCGAGGAAATGTCATCTTTGTTTCTGGACTTTGGAAAGAGGCTGAAACGGGGACATCTTACTGGATTGGAACTGTAATGGACTTGAGTGAAAACATAGGTGAAACCGTTAGGAAGCCAGTGGCATTCCCTGGTGTGACATAAGTAACACTGCTGTGTCGGGAAAGGACAGTGTTCCTGGGGTCCCATCCCATCCCCTCTTTCTGTGTTGTCCCTGCAGGCCGCCAGCTCACTGGAGCCGAGAGGGCCTGCACGGTCGCCGCGGAGGAGACCGACATCGACGCCGTGGAGGTCCCGCTTCCGGGGGGTGACAGCCTGGAATTCAGCCGAGGTGTCACCGACCTCGATGCCGTGGGGAAGGATGGCGGCTCCCACACAGAATCCAAGGTGGGCAGGAGGCGCCCATCCAGGTGGTCTGCACACGGCCACCTCCAGGGATGGCCTGTGTCACAGCCTCAGCCACTGTCAGTCACCTCCCGCCCTGGATGGTGTCCCCCCTGCTCAGAACCTGTGCAGACCAGTCCTGGCACACAGCACCGGGGGAGGGGGCCTGGGCAGAGCGGCCTGTGCCCGGAGGCTCCTGTGAGGTCGCTGGAGCTGGAACTGCGAGACCACCCAGGTGTCATCGCCTCCAAGCTCACAGCTTATGGGAGGTGACCCATATAACCCAGACTAAGAAGCAGAGCTCAAGGCCAGACTCCAACCTGAAGACAAACGAAAAGCCCAGGAGACGAATCCTGACCGACACCCCTGGGAGACCGGGGTTCCTGTGTAGGGTCAGGGGTCACCTCACACGTTCTGCTCACGGCGGCCTCAGGGCAGCTCAGTCCCCAGTTGTGAGGCCCTCAGCGAGGGACATGGCCTGTCACTGGGCCTCTTAGCCATCTGGGAAGGGCCAGCAGCAGGAAGGCCAGGAGCAGCTCTCTGGCCTACAGAAGCCACCACAGTGACAGTGTCAATACAGGAAGGGCCGAGACCCCCGTCCACTGGCAGGAGCTGTGAGCCCGGCCTACCATGAGCTGGGCAGGGGTGCGAGCGGCGTCCTCCCTTGGCCTCTGCCCCCTGGCCAGGCTGGGAGGGCACCTGAGGACACAGCGGAGAACGGGGGGCATGGTGGTGGGAGGAGCTGTGTCCAAGCCTAGCACCCCCTGGAACTCAGCACCCCCTGGAACTCAGCCAGGCGGCCAGTGGTCAGGAAGTGGGAGGGTCAGCCATGCCCACCGCTCGGGCCATTACTGAGGTGTCCCAGCAGCCTTTTCTGCCTGCAGATCAAGCCTGCAGTCACAGCACCTGCGCCTCGGGGCCACTGCACTTCCCTCGGGGACACCGCGTCTCTAGTCCTCTGCGGGGACTGGGCCATTGGGTCGCATGTCAGAGCCACAAGGCCCACGGTGGCCCCTGCCCAGGGTCATGGCCGGTCCTCTCTGCTCCTCCAGGTGCCGCCCCACCCCCCGGATCCCATGCTGACCAGCGCGTCGGGGACGCTGCTGCCACCACCACCGTTGTCCTCGCAGGCCCTGGGCGTGGGGACGGGGACGCCGCTGTCCTCCCAGCACCAGGTGCAGCTCCTGCAGCAGCTCCTCCAGCAGCAGACGCAGCAGACGCAAGTGGCTGTGGCCCAGGTTCTCTTCAGCCCCTCCCCCAGGGCCCAGGGCAGGTTCCAGTGGGGCCGTGGGGCCGCTCGCACGTGGGGCGTTGCTTGTTGGGTAGGGGGAGAGACGGTGGCTCCCGCGGGTCCATGCTCAGCTGGGCTTGGCTGGCTTGGCTGGCTGTGTTGGGTGTGACTCGAGGGACTCGGAAGCAGGTGCACACAGTCCCCACCCTGCCCCACAGCCCCCCGTGTTGGCTGGGGGCACCTCTGCAGCTGGGCAGCTATGACTGAGGCCAGTGTTACAGGAGCTTAAAGTGCGAACTTGCACCAAACGCCCTGAAGAGCCCAGCACGTGGCCTCCGGCCACCGTGCCCACACAGGTAGTCTCCAGTGGCCATCATTCCGGGGGGCTGATGCCAGCCTGGCCTGGAATCCATTAGAACGGATGTGACTAGCGGGACTTGGGTATAGTGTTTGAGCCGTGATGACAATAACTGGCTTAGGCTCAGGGGCTGTTGCGGGGTTGCTGCTTTGCAAAGGAGGGTGAGCAATTCCCCGCTGCCCCCTGCTTCCTCTGCCGAGGGCCCCTGGCACTGTCAAGGCAGAGCCCTGTCATCACTCTAGGCAGTAGGGCAGTGGTGGGGACGCGCTCACGCGTGCCATGAAAGGCTGATTCCCGTGGTCTGACAGATGCGTCGGGACCTGAGTGAGTGGGTGAGGACACAGGAGGGCCCTTCATGGTGTGACCAGGCTGACTTGTCTGGTGTCCTGCACCCGAGTGGCAGGGCACAGCTTCTCTGGGGCACTTATGCTCCCAGCTTCTTCTGCTGGCTCCTCAGGACCCTCGGGCTGGGCGAGTCTCCCGGACAGGGCAGGCCCCTTCAGGGAGCATCCGGCAGCCTCAGCACAACTGGTTCTGTCTCAACCTGGGTCTTGAAAAGACCTTGAAACCTGAGTCTTGCCCTGACCTGGGCCTGAGGCCTCGTGGTCCCTGTGGCGGCCAGGTTTCCCGACGGCAGAACAAGAGGCCACTGCTCCCAAGTGACCTGAGCCTTTTGAAGAGTCTGACCATGGTGTAAAAGGGTGTGTGCTGGTGCCAAGAGGGTTCGTAGGTGTCCCCAGGACAGCCACAAAAGGAGGGGTGTTGTTAATGCTGCTTATGTTTGGGGAAAATCATTGCTCTTTGTTAAGGAACAGAACTGTCTTTAGTTAACGCTGCGTGGCTGTCGGGGAACCCCGCCTCCCTGGGGTGATGCTGTCAGCACACAGCCCGGGGGCTGCAGTGCGGCCGCCCCACCTCACACCGTTTCCAGCCGTCCCCACTGAATACAAATCCATCCTGCAGCCATATTGCATTTCCCTTTCGGCATATCAACTGCCAAGTGGTTATTATTTATCCAAGAAAGGGCTTGATGCATATTCATGATGCGTATTATCAAACACATTTGAATTTAAGGCGCTGCGCAGTACCATAGGGAAGCTATTTGCAGTGTGTCATCTACACAGGAAGTGCTGGGTGGCCGTTCGGTCTGCAAAGCTGGAACCTGGGATGAGCCCCTGAGAGTGTCTCGGCAGATGTCACTGCCCCCACGCTGGCCTACCGGACAGAGAACCTAGGGGAGGGGTGTGCTCCTGTGGGCCCTTCATGAGCTTCGGTCCAGCTGCGTCCATGGGCTGGGCACCCTGAGCCTGTGACTCGAGTCTGTTGTTTGTAGTTGTGCTGCCCTGGTTGACCCAGTCAGATAGTGAGTGACATGACATCCCCCCACCGTGCATCGTGTCCCCACATGGGTGAGATGACTCTGGGTAGGGCTGCAGGCTGCCACAGTCTTCATTCAGGTCGGAGAGGCCCTCGGGGTCACGCTCCTCTAGCCTCCCTGCTGCCCCCAAAACAGTCTCCGGCCTCCATCACTCGTGTCTTCTTTTGCTGCTGGGAGGGCAGCAGTGTCCCTGCACCTCCAACCAGTGCTCAGCCCGTCCGTCCTGCAGACAACTCGGCCGCCACCCCTGCCCCGTCCGAGGGCTTTGTGTCAGGTCCGTATCTCGGGTAGTGGCGATCACACAGCCATGTAGGTGGGTTAGCAGATGGGACCTTATTGGTGCCTTTCACACATTTAAAACAGACTGACCTTGTTGTGCGCTTGGCCTCGTGTCTTGTTCTGTCAGACTCTGTTGCCACCAAACTGCCACGTTTCTTTTTCTTCACTGACACGGCGGTCCCAGCACTGCAGGGGGTGGTGTGGTGACGTCACACTCCAGGTGGGAACACACTCCCCTGTGCTCTGGGAGCAACTGTTCCCCCAGCCCCCCATGGCTCCTGGGAAGAGCTGAGGATAAAGACAGTTTCTCGTAAACACGTGCACTCCTGGGGTCCCTTGTTGCCTTATGTACACCCCCCCAACCCCCGTGCCCCCTCACGGGTCTGTCTGGTCCGGCTGTTGTCACAGACCCGCCTTAGACTGCCTTCAGGGTGTGCTGATGGTCTCAGAGCCTGGGCTCTCCCTAAATTGGTTCAGAGCTGGTCTAGAAGGGTCTCACATGTGGAGGGTGGACCACGTGTGCGCAGTGGACACCCCCACCCTCCCGCCCAGCGTGAGGCTGGCCTCGCTGCACGAGCTTCCTGCTTTTAGGTGGCCAGACGTCCAGGCATGTGACTGAGGCTACAGCCAAGCCTTGGACGGACGCGGGGTGGTGGGGGCGCCTGCATGGCCATGGCTGGGCCCCCACAGCGCCAGGCTGCTCCGGGCCCGCGGCTGGGTGGCTGCAGTTGCGTCGGCCCCGTTCCCTCACGGCTGCCAAGCGCGGGCCTAGCTCGTGAGGAAAGCGCTAGTGCCGCTCGGTGTTGCCGCTGTTTCAAGCTTCCTCCATGCACTGCCCTTGCGGTTCTCCCAAAACAAGTGCGGGCCCCTGAAGCTTCGCGATCGCTCGTGTGCTGTGCTTAGTTGGAGCAACGGCGCTGAAAGCCCCCGCGCCGCACGTGGTGGGGGCTGCGCACGCTGAGCCCGCGCCCCCCGCCTTGCCTGCGTGCCTGCCGGGTGCAGGCGGCAAACCGCTCTGGTTCTCTCCACTGCCGTCCCACGTGCGTGTCGGTGCTCCCTAACCAGCCTGGCCCCGCGCCCACTTCCCGTGGAGGAGGCGCTGGAGTCCAGGCAAGTGGGCGAGTCAGCGGGCAGGGGTCTGGGGTGGGGCGGGTTGAGGGCCGGAGTCCATCGGGCGGCGTGGACGTGGAGGGCGCAGGGTTGAACTTGGGTTTGCAGGGCTGGGGCGGGCAGAGCTGGACGCTGCACTGCAGACGATGGTCAGTGAGCCGGATTGTCGCTGCCCAGACCCCGCAGCTCCGGTGGGAGAGGCCCCCTCGCACCTTCCCAGAAATAAACGTGGCCTCCGTGTGCGCACGGTGCCTGACGTTCTGTAGGAAAAGTGTGCTGCGTGCGAAGAGGCGTCCGTGTGCAGGGCGGAGGCGCCTGGTCAGGGAGGCCAGAGCACTGCGGCCGTGGCTGCCCGCCCACGCAGGACGTGGGGGCTCCTTGAGGCCAGGCGCGGTGTGCCCCTGGCCAGGTGTGGGCCGCATGGTGGGAGGCTGCAGTCCTGCGTGGGCCTGACGCCGCTGAGGCAGAGAGCCCCTCTGGGCCGCTTTCAGGCTGTGGCAGGCGAGCGCTTCTGCGTCCCTGGGTCTGGAAACACCTGAGATGTTATCACCCGTGTTTGCAGCCTGCAGCCTCACTTTACGTGGTTGCAGGAGCTGGTCTCCAGGCAGTGCCTGTGGTTTGAAACGCAGCATTTGACCCGGGACTGTCGCGCTCGGTTACCTGCAGAAGCAGCTTCCGCCTCTTCTGTTCCCCTTGCCCCAGCACCGCGTCTGCTGGACGTGGAGACCTAGGCCGCCCTCGGTCGAGAGGCGGAGCAGGTCCAGGTAGAAGAATCAGCCTCAGTGGCAGGGGCGGTGGACCCACAGACTGGCCGCCAGGCGCCCCGCCCGGGGCCCCCCAGCGGCCTGCTCTGTGGGGATGTTCAGAGGTTGGGGGGGTGTGCACGGAGCCCACGGGTGCAGTTAGCGGTGCGCAGAGTTCTCCTGTCCCCACTGCCGTGTGCTCCACGGAAAACCCACAGTTCTGTCAGCTCAGCAGGTCCCTTCTATGACAGTTACCTTAGGTGCAGAGGGAAGGTCCAAGCTGGCCTTTCCTGCGTGGCACTTCCCACAGCACCTGTCCCGTTCCCGAGAACCAGCAGGGCCCGGGGACTCGGGAAATACCCGCGTGCCTCAGTTTCCAAGGGAGATAAAGCCTTCATCGCCACCCACCCGCTGACGTTTCTCCGTGCTCTCGCCCGGTCTAGGTCCCCCTCAGTTTATGTGACAGCCAGTCCTGTCCTCAGCGGCGCCTGCAGAGGGCCGCTTTACTCCAGGCTGCGTGCCCCCCCCCCAGATAGGCCCCCGCGTGCTGCCACTAGGAAAGCGGCAGCCAACCCCACTCGAGGCCCCACTGCCAGGTCAGGTCCCGAAATCCGGCAGGAGCGCGACAGCGGCCCCTCGAGAGCTGCTGCGGGAGGGGCGGGCGCGTCGTTTACGTCCGGTCTGGCGGGCGTCTTTCTGGAGTGTGTGTCGTCGGGGCGGGAGACGGAATCAGCCCCCCCACCCCCACCCCGGCTCGCCTTCCTCACTGTCACGGTCCCGCCCTGGCCGCCGGACGTTGGGTCTTTGTCTACCATGTTTTGGGCCCAAGAAAACCCTCTTTCCCACCGGCTGCCTTGGTGCAGGCCACCAAGGTCGTCAGCTTCTGGAACCCTCCAGAGACCCCTTTGTGCACTCCTGAGGTCACACGTGGTCATTGCCTCCCCGAGTTTATCCCCCACCCGACCGCACCCAGACCTGTCGAGCTCCCAGCAGGCAGGAAGCCCACGCTCCGTGCCACGGCAGTCAAAAGGCTTTGTTACGACCACCTCCGCAGTTCGGAAAGGGCGCGTGGGGCTCCCAGTTTTTCCGAGTGTTTGGGCGCGTAGAAGGGGAGAGGAAAAGCCGTGCGGGGTTTGCTGTCACACGATTCCTGGCTGGCGCTGCCCGGTCACAGGCGTTTTATCCAGGCTTGCGCGCGGAGGCGTCTGTGGTCTTGCACTCACGGCCTCTCTTCTTCTGTCTGCCCCCCTCCCCCGCCCCCCGCAGGTGCACCTGCTGAAGGACCAGTTGGCGGCCGAGGCGGCGGCCCGGCTGGAGGCGCAGGCCCGCGTGCACCAGCTCCTGCTGCAGAACCGGGACGCGCTGCAACACATCGCCCTGCTGGTCAGACAGGTGCAGGAGCTGGAGCTGAAGCTGTCAGGACAGAACGCCAGTAAGCCAGGCCCCGCCCCCGGCGCGCCCCAGGCCCCGCCCCCCCGGCGCGCCCCAACCCCGGGGCCCAGCACAGCAACTGCCCCTCCGCAAAGCTTTCTGCGCTGCCCTGTGGCACCCCACCTGCCCCTGTGTTCTGGCAGAAATCACAGGCCGCTTTCTCCGTCCCGTCCGCACACTCCTTGGAATCACAAGGGGCTGGAGGGCGTGTCAGGGGCCTTCTAGACCCTGCCCACACTGGACCTCGCATGTCACTGTCGCAGGCTCCCTGCCCGGGCTCGTGCCAGCTCGCGGAGATGCCAGGCGGCTCATGGTTTCACCATGCGTTCCACAGCCCCGGCATAAGAAAGGCTGGTGACGTCTTAATGACCTTGTTAGTGGACAGGCAGAGGCGCAACTGGCCGGATGCCGCGCTGCTGAGGGGCGCGGCGGCCTCCAGGCTGACCGGGGTGCGCCCGAGGGCAGCGCCTGCCCGCCTGTGGCCGTGCGCGTGCTCTCCGTGTGGGCTGTGGACCAGCGCGTGTCCACTGGTCAGCGCCTGTGGCAGAGCCTGTGACAGGGCTTCATACACACGACCTCACTCAGTCCTGGTTGTGGGAGGTGCTGTGCCCACTTCAGACTCGAGGGAACCGACCCAGAGGTCAAGGACAAGACGCTGCAGGGTTGAGAGTCAACCCGGGTCTAATTGCCCGACACCAGTAGTTCCCCCAAACTGCCCCATAAGCTGCTCCCGGGTCCAGCCCGCAGGGAAGGGACGTCGACAGGTCCAGGCGGGGCTGCGACTCCGCGTGTGCAGCGGCCCGGAGGCCTGCGCGGAGTTTTGTCACCGCGTGCCGCACGCGCTGTGCGCGTCCCGCCTGGACCACACGCCCGGGGCGCCCCTCCAGCCTGGCGCGGAGCGGGTGCCCCCCACGCGAGCCAGCCCCTGCTGACGCCCGGCCCTCTGTCTCCCGCAGTGGGCTCCCAGGACAGCCTGCTGGAGATCACCTTCCGCTCCGGAGCCCTGCCCGTGCTCTGCGACCCCACGACGCCCAAGCCGGAGGACCGGCCCTCGCCGCCCCCGGGCCGCCCCGCGGGCAGCCCGCTAGGTAGGCGCGACTGCTTGGTGCAGCTCGAGTGCTTCCGCTTCCCCGCCGCCGCGCAGGGCGCGCCGCTGCTGGGCGGCCTGGAGCTGCTCAAGTTCAGGGAGTCGGGCATCGCCTCGGAGTCCGAGTCGGCCACCGAGAGCGACGAGGAGCCGCCCCGCCTGCAGCTCGCGCGGCGGCGGCAGGCGCTGGGCGACAGCCTGGACGATGGCATCGCGCGGTGTAGGCGCCGGTCGGGCGAGGGGCGGAGGCGCGGGCTCCGGACCACAAGGAGGCTTTTGCCTCGGAGGGCGAGCGAAGCAGCTGGGCGCCCGGAGGCGAGCAGCCCGTCTCTGTGGCCGGAGGCGCGGCGGCCGTCCGTCGGAGGACACCGCCGGCTCGTCGCCCGTCCGGTGCCCAGCGGCCCCTCGCGCTCCCACCTCCATGTCCGGCTGGGAACGGGCGGCGGCACCGTCTCAGGTGCTCCGTGTGGATATTCAGGACGCGCCAGCTGCCTCCCCCGCCCCCACCGCGCGCGTGGGCGTGGGCGAGGGGTCGCTCTGAGCTGGGGCGGGCAGGATGGGCCCTCCCGCGTGAGTGCTGCGTGGGACGCGTCGCGTAGTCTGCAGAGGAATTGGACCCAGACGTTTTCTGTCGCCGGGTGTTCGTGTGGCCCAGTGGGTGGGGATGGCCTCTTTGCTGTCGCCAGTCACATAGGTGTGACCTCTCCTGCCCGCCTCCCACCTCCGTGTCCACTGGAGGCAGGAAGTTGCCCCTCTGGCCTCTGCGTCTGGCCTGGGGCTGTGCCAGCTCCAGCGCCACCTCGCAACAGGTCCCCTCCCCGGGGCAGCACTGGTCAGCTCTCACTGCAGGGAAACCGACGGCCTGGTAGCTGAGACTGCTTATGTCCGCCCTTCAAATCACTGCCACTTAGGTCAGGGACCACCGCGTGTCCCCCTTGACCCGTCTCTGTGGGCCCTGCAATACTTTTACCATCTGGGCCTTGACCGCAGGCTCCCCGCTCGGTCCCGTGGGCTGGCGGGCAGTGAGGACAAGCTCTGTTTGGTCAGCGAGGCGCAAGTGCTGTCGACAGATGGAAAGTGCCTGAGGAGGGCTGACCCGTGCCAGAGTCCCGTGTTCGGGGAAGTCAGTCTTTATCCCAACGACATGCTGCAGACCAGGCTGCAGTGCCCCCCGGGGTCAGCGGTGAGGACGCGTGGCCCCAGAATGGAGGTCTTGAACCCTGACGTTGCTTTATAACTCACACGGATGCGAGCGAGGGCAAACGAATGGAAATGATGCAGCTTCACGTTAGTCGGCCCTGGGGCACCGGGGCCCAGCGGGGTAGGGCAGGTGTGTGTGCGCACATGTGTGCAAGAAGGCGGTTAGTGTGTGGGCTTGTGACAGTGATGGAGAGAGCACAGCCTATCCCTGGGTGTCTTGAGTCTTCGGCAGGTGTCTGTTCTTTCAGCTGGAGAGGGCGGTTCCACTTGCTTTGTTTTCTAATTAGCCATTGGAAGTAGGTGCAGGATACAAGGAGAGGAAGAAGCAGGCATGCGAGGTCCAGGAAACTGAGGGAGGGCTGTCAGGACGCCGGCCCGGCCAAACCGGCAGTGCACGAGGGGCTCCTGAGTGGGTCCCCTTAGATCGCTGGCTTGGTGACTTCGGGGCATGGAGGTCTGGCTTTGGGCGCCCAGAGCGGAGGACCCAGCCCCAGGCCGGTGGATCGGGGGTGGACGTGGTAGGACAGGGCTTTGGGGGGGGGGGTGAGGAGTGGGTGGGAAGACAGCTTCTGAAAGGATCCTGCCAGACTTGTGAGGGAAAGAGGAAGGTGGAGGAGAGAGGAGACAGCTGGACGCTGACCCCGACGTTCGAGGCGCTTGCCCTCCGAGTGCTCCCTGGGGTTCCAGACGCCTGCTTCCATCACGGCCTTGCCCAGTCAGGCCCCCGGAGCGTCCTCCCTGGGGGGACTCAAACCAGCACACACAGGGGGTGAGGATGGCAGACGAGGGACAGACAAGGGACCTTGACGTGCCGCCCGCCGGGGCGGGAAAGGCAGTGCTGCAGACCTCGACCCCGGCTTGCACCCTCTCCTCTCTCCTCGCTTCTGGCTCTGCTAACCCAGCTCTCGGCCGTGTGGAGGACACGCGGACACCGGGGCGCCCGCCCAGGTGGTGCTGGCCAGCGCCCGGACTGGATGTGGTGGGAACGCTTCCATTTTCTTGCTGACACGAGTGCTCTCTGCAAAGCCCCTCGCAGTCGCCGCCCCCAGCTGCTCTGGGCGGGACGGCTGTTCCTTCTGTTCACGCTCTGCCCCACTGCTCCCCCCCCACCCCTCTGCTTCCTAAACCCGTGTGTCGTTCACTCTCTGGGAAAAGAGCCTGTCCCTGTAAGTGCACTTACTCCCTGGATGTTGTCACTAGCCTAGTGGCCTTTGCTAATAAACCTTTCTGATTTCTGAAAGCTCCTCTCCTGTCTTTTCTTGCTCCTCTGCTCCTTCTCCCCCTCCTCCCCACCCCCGCTGTGACTCGGGGCTCTGGAGGCTGCTGTTGGAAGGGATCCCCACATCCCTGAAAGGGGCGGGAGGAGGTACCCCCAGGCGAAGCTTGTGCAGACCAGCCTGGGGATCGGCTGTGCGAGTGGTTCTCGGCCAGGGTGACTTTGCTTTCCTAGGGGCACATGGCGACGTCTGCAGACGTTTCTGGTGTAACGAGCAGGGGAGGGACACTGGTGGCCAGCCAGAGGGCGGGCCGGGGCCAGGGACCAGAAGCGCGAACACCACACCTTGGTGAGAGGGCCCGCTGAGTCCCAGGGAGGCGAAATGAGAGGTGCAAAGGCCTCGGAAGATGACGAAGCCCTCAGCCCTGCTTCAAACCACATAATGGGCAAAGCGGATGTCGTCCCTGCACCCCTGATGCTCAGAGTTGGCAGTGCATTTGCTCGGAAATGGAACAAGGCTCAGGCTGTGTGCGGGGACATTACTTGGTAATAGGAGCAATGTTTTCACCTGCCTGTTGTCATGACCCCACACAGCCGTGTAAAGAAGCTCCCCGGTCTGTTCTGGCTCAGCCAGAGAATCCTTCTCCATGAAGGATCTGTGTGTCTGCGGCGGGGACGGCCCTGCCTGGCGGTGTGGTGTCTGCGGCGGGGACGGCCCTGCCTGGCGGTGTGGTGTCTGCGGCGGGGACGGCCATGCCCCATTGGCCTCTTCTCTGCCTCATACGTAGGGACATGTTGTCTTCCCATCCCATCTTCAGAAGACCTGACATCCTAGAAGCTTTCAAACTGTGCAGAGGTTCTGCCAGTGGACACTTCCCCATGCCAACAGGAAAGAGCGTCCAACCCTGCACCCTCCGTGTGAGCTTCCCTGTGGTGGGAGGCAAGGCGTGGCCACAGAGGGACCAGCAGAAAGGCCAGGGTCTCCGAATGCTGGCCTCACACTCGAGCTGCATGAGAGTCGCCCTCAGGGCTGGTTAGAACACAGATTGCTGGGCCCGCCCCCAGTTTCTGATTCAGTAGGTCTGAGAATTTCGTTTCTAACAACTCCCAGGAGGTGCTGACCCTGCTGGCCTGGGTGCCTCACTTTGAGAGCCAGTTTCTTAGGGCTTATCCTCAAACTTCAGGCGTTTTCTTGAGAGCGAGAGCGAGAGCGAGAGAGAGAGAGAGAGAGAGAGAGAGAGAGAGAGAGAGAGGTGGCCTGGTGTTGCTAGGCAACTGTTAGCCCAATGGGATGGGACTGGGCCGAGGAGGACCGCAGGTGGTGCGGGGAGACCTCAGACTTGACAGAGGCTGTGACTGACTGGTTTTATTGGCCTCTCTCTAGAGACATGAATATACTCCGCCCGTTTCCCTGGCCACGTGGCTACTTGAAGGCCTGGCAGCTGCCGGACGAGAGCCTGTCCCCGGGCCACACGCTCTGCTCCTTGCCCCAGAGGGCCTTGAGCCTGCGGTAGTACGCCCTGCAGCTGAAGCCCTCCCTGATGCCACCCTTGATGTGGCCCTTGAGAGAACGCAGGGTGGGGTACATGCGGCAGCAGGCCGCGCACTTGTAGCCGTTCTGCTGGGCCGGCTGCCACGTGGAGGCCGTCAGGATGTCCTGGGACGTGATGTAGTCTGTGGCGTCCGGGCCGCGTCCGGGTTTCTGGGTGGCCTGTCGGGGGCAGGTGTTCTTCGGGGAGGAGGAGGAGGACGAGGAGCAGACGCTGTCAGCCTCGTCCTCAGGAAGGCAGCTGTCCCCCCCGCCCTCGTCCCGCTGCCCCTCTGGGGAGCTGGGGGCCCCCAGGCAGCGCTCCCTGTCTGCACACACGAAGTAGCTGTAAGGGGAGAACCAGGGCCGGTAGATGGTGCACTTCTGCCTCAGCTGCGCCCCGTTCTGGGGGTCCCCCAGGATGCAGTCTGTGAAGGAAAGGGCTGGGTCTCAGCCTGGGCTCCAGGCGGGCAGGCAGGGGGCAGTCGGCCTGGCATGGCTGGAGGCCGAGGGAGCGGTGACCTCGGGTCACCTCCGCTCCACCGGACCCCAGCTGGGAGTGTGGGGCAGCGGCGTGAGGCGTCCCCCTGCTGCCTCCTTTGTCTCGGTACAAATGGCAGTTTGCTCTCCAGGCGGAGACTGTCCTCTCAGTCACTAAGCCTGGCACCCGTCAGGTGCCCTCTAAGGACAGACTCTGATGGCTGCAGCGGACTCAGGCCTGCCACCAGCCCTCTGCCTGGCTTCCTGCAACAGCCCACTCAGGCAGAAGCCGCTGCCCCACCAGCTTGGGGGTCGGGGTGAGGGCGACGCAGGGAGGTCCTGCTGGAGGGCCAGACAGGAGACGGCAGGAAAACAGCCCGCAGCCGCCTTCCCCCAGGTCCCCAGCTTCTCCCGTGTGCCATGCGAGAGACCTCACCTGGAGAGAGCGGTGCACTGTGCGCCCCGGGCAGGAGGGTGCTGCTTAGGCACTGGAGTGGCCGGGCCTGAGCTGGGCTGGCTGCCTCTGTGGGGAGCGCAGTCTTGCTGATGCCTGGGGAGCAGAGGGGCTGGTGAGCTGAGCCAGGCTGGGCGTCCGCCTCTGTCCCCCCCGCACCCCATGTTCCCAGGGCTCAGCCTCAGTACTTCACAGCAGAGCAGAACTAAACGGACCTCTCCTGCCCCAGAGGTCCTGGGTGCCGTCCTGGGGAATTCCAAGGGGGCCACTTTGCTGAGACCATGGAAAGGTCTTCCCAGAGGACAAGGACCGGAGGACAGCTTCTGCCTGGGCTGTACTTCTCGGCCTGCCCGCATCTCAGCACACATGCGTGTATGTGGTGTGTGCATATGGATGTGTGTGCATGTGTGTGCATGTGCACTGTGTGGCAGTGGCCGTGCTCACTTTGGGCTCAGACCTATCAGGGCCCCACGTGCCCAAGAACCCCCCAGAGGGCCGGTTGGAAATGCCACCTCGGGGTCTGTGGCCAGCGGCCTGAGCCTCAGCGTTTCTGACCAGCTGGCGCCCAGACCACACGGCGAGCACCACGGCCTCACAGCACCCACCCTCGTGCCACCAAGTGCCCTCAGCCACCCTCCCCTGAGGCTCCTTCTGACAGACTGACCGGCCTAGACTTTCCCAGGGGTCAGAACGGGGCTAGACTAGCGCATGCTCCACGCAGACAGACTGTCAGCTCGGGATTTCACGCAGCTCCAGAGGAAAAACTTAGACAGCAAATATCCCCCTGAGCCCCCTTGCCAGAGACGGACAAACAGTGGGAGCAACTTACCATGAGCTCAGCATTGAAAAATTTTCTCCCACGTGTAATTAGACTTTTTTACTAAATCGTAGTCCCACATTGAACTGGTAGAACTCTCAAAGGCTGAGGGAGCGGCAGTCGGGCCTGACTGCGGGTTGCCTCCGCCCTGCCTGACCGCAGCTCTGAGCGTGGGCAGCGGTGAGGTGTCCCCCCTGCTGCCTCCTTTGTCTCGGTACAAATGGCAGTTTACCTGGCAAGCTGGTGGCACGTGAGGACATAATGTCAGGAAAAGTGCTTAGGGCCGAGGGAGACAGCCGAGGCCCCGAAATGCTGAGGAGTGAGAAGCTCTCCATAGTCTGACGGACGCGGGGCTTCAGCTCCCAGAGGCACGCGTCGTCCAGACAACGCGCATTGTGAGGGCGGATGACATCACAAGGAGGCCACATGGTTCCGTCACGGCTCGGTCACCCCCTGTCAGAGATGGGTGGGTCCACTGCAAGCAGGATTGACATCTGTACAGACCTTCCTGACTTGTCACTTCTCGGTGGCCTGCCTCGGCTGAGAACACCCAGAGAGAAGGAAGGCTTAGCAGACCACATAGTGATTTCACCTGTTTGCGCACTTGGTCCTTTAGTGTCACTTTTGAGGTGTCACTGCCAACCCCCAGCTCTGGGGACCTGTGTCCTGTCTGAATAACCTCCTCGCTTTTCTTCCCCCATCTGCCTAACCTCTGCCACCAGATGTTCCTGTTGTCGGCTTTAGCTGCTGGGTTTTGGTTTGGGGTACATTTTTCACTTCTTCTTTGGAAATAATTTCAAACTTATAAAAAGTTACAAAAATGATTACAAAGAACATCCTCCTACCCGGCACCGTTTCCCATGTTAACACTGTAGCCCCTTTTCAGGGGTCCGCGCCGCCCTCCCTCTGTGTCTGTGGATACATAGTTTTTTGCCTGGGCTATTTGAAGGTAAGTCACAAACATCAAGACCCTTTGTGCCTGAATACCTCCACGTGTGTTTCCTAAGAATAGGACCAGAGATTGTGTTACGTGGTTGGTGATTGTGTGGTTAGCGCCATCCATTTTTGGCAAATGTCTGAAACGTGAGTGGGCGGCTTACTCTACACCATTTTGCTCGTTGTAAGCAATTTGCTGGTGAGACTGGACGGGGACGGCTGCCCCTTCTCTGTGCTTCCCTTGTGTCATCACAGCCTGGCATGCTGGGGGGCGTGCAGTCAGGGTAAGAGGTGACGGTGCCACTTGGAAGATAACCTGGAGGCGCTGCAGTCTAGGTAATCACGACAGGTGTCAACTAGGCGTGCACCGGGCTTCAGACCTGACAGTGAACGTCCCTGCCACGCGGAACACTCTGATCCCCTCTGTGCATGGCGTGCTGCCAGCGTGGCTGAGCCTCTGCGTGTGACATTCCAGACTGGTCCTCACGCCAGTTCGTGCCCGGAATTACCCATCCACAGCACGGTGGGGAGAACACGAGTTCTGTGCCCCACCCCCGCCTGCTTTGGAACCTTCGAATGAGCTGGGATGTAAGGGGACCGCGTGCACCTAGGCAGCATCACTGGGCCTGGGAGCCAGCATGTCAGCGGCCACCCCCACCCCACCTGGCCCACCGTTAGCTCCCGTGCGGCCCTGGGCGGTCGCTGTGCCCCTTAGCGTTCCCGCCGTGCTCATTTACACAGTCGGCGTGGATGGCCATCTTCCTGGTCTGGAATCGGGTGGTTTATGTGCAGAAAAGAGACAGCGCAGGAATGAGTGACACACGCGGGACAGGAGGAGGGGCCCGTTGAGCCCCTCCCACCGCCAGCTGGGAATTTCAGATACGCTTAACTGAAGGGGCTTAGATACTGAGGGAAATCC